CAGGCCAGCAAGTGCTCCCGCCATGAGCGGCACAGGGTTGGGCAGGGGAGGCTGCTCCCCATCTCTCCCTTCCCTGTCTCTTGTCCCTCCAGGAAACCCTGGGGATTGGCTAAAGATGGGAGGAAGGTGGCCGGCTGTGAGAGGGCAGGGCTGGGGCCCTTGGCGGGGGTAGGGGAAGTGGGGACCCCAGGCCTCTGCTCAGGGCAGGGGAGGGAAGGCAGGCTGAGCCCCTTTGGGTCACTCCCTCCCTGGTTCCAGGCCCACATGCTAAGGCTCCACCTCTATGCAGCCCTCCCGGCTCTTCATGCTGTGTCTCCAGGGCTTTCTCCAAGGTGGCCTGTCCCTGCTGCCAGGGACCTCCATGGAGCCTCCACTGGTCACATGTGCATCTCTGTCACTGCGCCTCCCCTGCTGTGACAGCTCTGCCTCCAATGCCATCTCCTGGTGGCTGATTGACCTGGGAGGCAGACCCAGGTCCTCTGGGCAGCTGAGGGTGGACAGGGAGCCAAGATGCAGGCAGGAGGGGCAGTGGCTGAGGACGGCAGGGGGCCCTGGGGCAGGGGAGCCTGTATTTAGTCTCCAGGTCAGTTATCGGCCCAGACTAGAGCTCTGCGACCACCGGACAGTGCGAGGTCGCCAGGTGCCAAGGCTCCTACGTGTCGTGGCCCTGGGACACCGCGCTGACTTCCAGTGGGAACCCAGGGAGGAGGCCGGGGTGCGCAGAGCTCTGGTGGGAACCCAGGGAGGAGGTCGGGGTGCTCCCAGCTTATAGCTGGATACCCAGGGAGGAGGCTGGAGTATACAGAGCTTACAGCTGTGCTGTGCCCAGGGAACCTGGTCCCCATCCAGCTCTGGCCTCCCACTGAGGCCACTGAGACCCATTCTGCCCAGAGGGCCTAGGTCTGAACCCACGCCCTCCACCTCTCTTTCTGCAGGGCTACTAGGGGGTGGGGGAGGGTGTCAAGGAGACTTGGCACTGAGCCAACATTGCCATCTGGAGGTTTGGGTCCCCAGGACCTGGGGTCCCCCAGAGTCTTCCTGCATGCCCTGAATCAAGGACACCATCTGGGTCCCCTCTCCACCCTGCTCTACCTGTTCCTGCCTGCAATGGTATTCCCACTGCCTCTCAGCACCGGGGCCAGGGCCAGGGCTCCCAGGACAGACCTGCTGGTCCTGCTGGCCCGGGAGAGAGACCCTGCAGCAATTCTAGGGGGACTTTTCAGTCTGGTGGGTACTGGACAGGGCACCAGGCAGCCGCAGTCTCCAGGGACCCCATAGGGGCACACTGTCTGAGCCTCTGCCGCTCTCCTCCCCCTGGATCCCTGGACTGCAATGTCTAACAGGCAGTTCGCACTTTCGAAGTTTAATCTAGCGGAGAGCAGCGAGGTCTGCAGCCTGCACAGCAAGTCCTTGCGGGCCATGGCTCTGGAGGAAATAGGCCAAAGTCAACCTTTCACCCAAGAACGACCTATGGAAAACCATTCTGGCCCATCCAGCTGTGCAGGGCCCCCAGCAGGCCCACAGTGAAAACCTGTACTGACTGGGCTTGGCTGTGCAGGTCCCTGGGTCCTGGAAAAGGAGTAGATGGGGCGCAGGGGACAAAGCGGGCAGCCAGAACCCCTGGGTCACAGGCCAGAGAGGGCCGGTGCGGTCCCTGGCTCCTGGGCCGCATCACGGAGTGTGTCTGGGCCCCGATGTCCATAGGGGCTGAAAGCCAGAGGGTGCCCAAGAGCCCTGGGCTCAGGCAGGTGAGGCTGGACAAGGCTCTGAGTCAGGCTCGGTCCCGCTCCCTCTCCCCCAGGGGGCGCCAGGCGGGCCCTGCGGCAGGAGGAAGCACAGGGGGCGCCCTACCGCGGAGCCGAGGCCATGGGCGCGCGGGTCCGGGCGCTGCTGCTGGCGCTGCTGCTGTGGCTGGTGGGGCTGGAGCAGCTGGGTGAGCTCAGGGGGCGCGGCTGGTCGGACTGGGGGTGCTGGGGAGGATGGGGTCCTGGAGGCTGGTGGCCGGGGGAGCTCACCCTGTTGCCTCTGCCCAGAATTACAGGAAACGAACCTGATGGCAGGTAAGGCACCCTGATGCGCCCTTCCCGCGCTGTGCACGTGGGCGGGCGCAAAGGCGCCTCAGCTTTTCCTCTCCCCGTCCCAGGATCGAGAACTCATCCGTGTTCGGAAGTACCCGAAGGGCCCTGAGGGAGAGGTGGGGGCCTGCCGACCACGTGGGAGGGCCCCCAGCATCCCCCTCTTCCGCTATGACCCGTGCAGGGCCCCAGGGCTGTGGGGTTCCCGCAGTTCCCTGGGGTGCCTCTCCCCTTCACGCACCCCAGGGGCCGAGACCAAGCTGGATGCTCCTGGCTCGGCTCAGCGGCCGGGTCTGTCTGACTATCTCAGGGCCCTGCGGCCACCGGAGCATCCCGTCGCGCATCGTGGGGGGAGAGGCGGGCGTTGGCCATGGCAGGGGGGCCTCCGTCTGTGGGGCAGCCACGTTTGCGGAGCAAGCCTGCTGAGCCGCCGCTGGGTGCTCACGGCCGCGCACTGCTTCGACAAGTGAGTCTGGGGCGTGGGGGCAGAGCGGGGCTGAGCTTGGCCGGGTGTGCGCGGAAACCTGGGCGCACTTCGAAGGCAGGCGTAGCCCAACTGCAGCGGCTACACCCCACCACACACGTGAGATCCCAATGGGACCCCTAGGGGAACCCTGTTCGGGTTCTTCCAGAATGTTCTTGCAGAACATATTGTCCTTGTTTTCTAACCCACCTTGCACCACCATCCGCATGCCCTCCAGCCCTCACTGCGTGCGCATGTCACAGGTGTGGGAGGCTGAGCCGAGGGGTGAGGGTGGCCCGCCGTGGCCAGTGGGGTGCCCTCCCAGGGACGCTGCTCCGTCTCCTCCACCCGGAGCCTGCCACCTGGGCCCCCCTGCCTCTGCTCACCCCTTTCTGGGCTGCAGGAGCCCCACTGGAGGGCTCCGCTGCATTTGGGCTTCCCCAGGACAGCTGTGAGGGGAGGGAGGGTCCCCTGTGGCACTCTGCTGCTCCGCCCTCCGTGCCCAGGTTCTGGGACTTTGGCTGTGGCCCCTCTGGGCTCTCCCATTTCTGCAGGCCCTTTGGCCCCTGGGGGTGAGCATGTAGCAGCCTCCTGCAGCCTGACCTGAGGGAGCGGCTCCAGGCGTGCTGGGTGGCCCTCCTCCCTGGGCCCCTGACTGCCCTCTCCTCCTGCCAGGTCTACTGACCCCTATGAGTGGACAGTCCAGTTTGGTGAGCTGACTGCCAGTCCAGCTTTCTGGAACCTGCAGGCTTATTACAACCGCTACCAGGTGGAGCATATCCACCTGAGCCCCAGGTACCTGGGGACTGTGCCTTACGACATCGCCCTGCTCAGACTGGCCTCCTCCGTCAGCTACTCCAGCACCATCCAGCCCGTCTGCATCCTGAACTCTACCTTCGAGTTTGAGAACCGGACCGACTGCTGGGTGACCGGCTGGGGGGACATCCAAGAGGACGAGGGTGAGGTTGGGGACAGGCGGGCCCGGAGGAGGGTGCTGTCCTTGTCCCTGTGGGTTGCCCCTCCCTGGCCACCTGCTCAGCATGCCCTCCGCTCTCCTGGAGACTGGAGCAGACACGAGAGCAAGGCCCGCAGAGGTGGACGCTGGGAGAAGGGCCACAGGCGCCGATTCACCCGTGCGACCCTCCGGTCACGGGCCCCCCCCCCCCCCCCCCCCACCCCCTCCCCCCGCCCCTACCTTGACCCCAACCCCCAGCATAGCAGCTCCTGTTCTCCACTCCTGCTTGGCCCCCTTTCCTTCCTCGGTTTGTCCGGTAACGCTAAGGTTATTAGGCAGCTTGGTGAAGGAAGTCATGGGGAGTCGTGAAATCATATGATATTTGTTAAAAGGTTATGTCCCATTAAGATACTCTTTTAATGGTGTGTTATCTGTTAATGAGGATGTATATACTATTTTCAACTGAACTGAGATGTGAATCATGCTGGGTAAGATCTCTTTACAATCTAAATAATCTTTAGCGATTGAATGTATAAATAATAATAATAATAATAATAATAAATTAGTTAAGATCATTGAAAAAAAATTAAGTTTTAGACAGACAAGATATTTAGGCTGTTTTCAATGAGGGCAGTCTGTGTTAGGGACTGGTCCATGGCTTTCTTTTTTTTTTTTTTTTTAAA